ATCTGTACCATGTACTCTACAGTAGAATTTCCCCTTGAGGGGAAATCTCAAACCAAAGCCAAATTTCCCCCTCTTTCTTTCTCATAGTAGTATCAATGCATATGTAAACATCAGATCGACAATAATGTGACAAAATGTTTAAATATAAAAGGGCAAGGATCAGCTATTTGTAAATAATAACGGCCGTCACTTTTGAAATTGAAATCAAGAAGAATATATAGTTTTTTCAATTCAGAAAGTTGTGTTTATTCTTCTGTAATATAAAAGAGAAAGAATGAACAATTTAATCTTTTTATTTTAAGAAATAAAATTAATATTACCGAATTTGTGTAAAATTGTCCAACTTTTGCGCATGCTTATAAGAGATTTCCCAACCTATGTGTCAAAAATGCATTTTAAAAAAAAAAAAACTTAAATTAATACTTTTTTATATATGACTATTCTATAGATGTTTACCTTACAATGATAGATAAAAATAATTACAATTGGTTATCATTAGCCCGAGAAAAATAGCCTTGAAAATGTATAACGGACGTTATGAGTGTCGGTCAACATGATGGGTTGACTTTAAACATTGAAATGTATGTAACTGTATAGAAAATATACGAATATTCTATGTTAGGTTTAACTTAAAAGTATATTCAACAGGTGCTTTCCCATAACGTCTGCGTAAAGGTTTTAAATACTAAATTATCGCAAAGGATGACTGCACTTAAGGACATGCGGAATTTGCGACAAAATAAACTTTCAAAACAAGCATTTTTCTTTTCATTGCAAGAATGGTCAACATCCAATCTACAACTTTATGTAATTACGTTTAATAAAAGTGTGTATTTACAATGTTCGAATCTGTTTTCAAAGGCAGGGGTCATCACAATTTCTTGAATCTCCGTTCGATAATGAGGACGCCCACTTTTTTGCTGACTTTATACATAGTCAGCGCATGTTTGTCTATTGTTCTACGTTTAACAGTAGTTGTATATTTGCATAAATAATAATGTGTCAAAAGGAGATTAATAGACAAACATGCGCTCATGGTTAAAAAGAGAAAAAACTGCTTCTTCTTACATTCGCTCTCTGTGTTGTAACCAAGGATTGTGACATGTTGAATATTATAATTCACCACGTGATTTCTTACCTCAGATAACTTTGTGAATACTAAATTCCGTCACGTGACTTGTAAGGTAGCATGTTTTGTGCTAACTAGGACACTGTGTTCGAACACGTTAAGTCATCTGACATTGATATAAAATCTGCTTTAATTACATTGACGTGCTAATATTGTTAATTTCGTTTTGAAACCTTTGTCAGAAGTGTATTTGTGCCATACAGAATGTAGAGGTAGACTGGAAAGAGTGATCATGTTCGCTTTTCCAAACATGTCATTGTTATTTATCAAGATTTTAGACCCATTCTTACAATGTTAGCTCCACCTCTCATGCATATCTAATGTTCAATCAAGGGCAGGTAAGTGTAAATTCACTATATTTGGAAAGCAGTAAGGACAAAAAACATTAAATCATTTTATTGTGTCACAGTCTAAAATCATTTTAAGATTTAAATGTGGTTCCAAATTGACAGTATTCTTTCATAAACATACAAAAGTGAGACAAGGTTTAGATATAAAAGCAACAGAAGCAACCGAAAAAGACCCAAAAACAGGCGTTAAGTGCAGTCATCCTTTAGCAAAGGTACACAGGTGTCGGTCAAATTCGTAACGTTCGTAATCTAGGGCGTAAAATGACTTGCATATGCGATATATAGAACCAGTTCGTTTTTTCTATTAGTTTTACCACACATTTGCAGAATACGTCATCAAAAGTGACCATGATACAAAAAAAGGAGGCAAAGTGGGTGAGTTTGTATTGTCGGTCAACATTTCTTAGTAGATAACAGGCGTCACGCTAATAACTAAATAAGATTTATATAATATTTAATGATAAAATGGACAAGCCTTGTTCTCCAAAGTGTTGAAATCTATAATTGTTATTGTTTGACACAAAAGTTAAGCATTTTTCTAGGACTATTACGATCATAGAGTTCGGCAGTTATATTTTGACGAACATAAAATATACGGATGTGACAGTTTGACAGAAAACAATGTCAAACCTTAACTTCTGATGCACAATGATTCGATTATGTAACACAGAAATTTTATGGACATATTTTTCGCTGTTTTGTTTATTAAAAAAGTAATTTATTTTCTTTTCAGATGCCATGCTACCAGTTCCTTATTGATTTTCTTGGCTGATTGCCTGTTATGATTTGACCATTCTTAATCTGTGCTGATACCAATTTTTTTTCTTATTATGTTATTAAAGATAAAATTTTATCAGTAAACTTCAGTTGTATGTTAACTGATTAACGAAGAACAAATAATAAATTTACTAAATAAAAATTACAAAGCCCGTAGAGAGTTAAAATGTAACTACCATGAAAAACCGTAACGGACGTTATATTGTACATCCGTCACAGTGCTTAAAAAATTTATGAAAATACTTGCAGTAGTTTTAATTATAGTATTAGCAGAATGTTTGGATGTAGATATTTGACACACAAACTTCATTGCATGTATGAAATCATGTGTATTCTTAAGAAAACTTACGAAATGCTTTAAAAATCAGCGTCAATGTAACCTCCGTAACTAGCAAACCTTAGTTTGTCAATTTGTAAAATCCATTTTTGTCAAAAGGTTAAATATAACATCCGTTTATTAAACAGGATAAAAAATTGTTAAAGGAAGAAGTAATGTACATTATTCTGCTTTTTTAAAATGAAAAACCTGTTTTTATTTCCTCGTGTAGTGAAAAAAACACCGAAAACACGATTTCTTTGCGGAAAGTAAGAATGATGAAAATGCTACAGCAAGAGAATTTGACGTCACCTCCGTCACGACTAATTGTGCCTTATTTATTTTACAGATAGGTCATAAAAAGCTGTCTAATTCATTCCAAGTGAAAGTGTGGTCAGATTCATGCTTGTGGTGGTTTTTTTAACGTTTCGAGGAGGGCGAAAAAACCTTCAAAATTCGCATTAACTGTGTCAACATAACGCCCGTCACTTTTTGATCACCTATATTTGGATGCGATTTTCTTAAAAAATAAAAACGCAACTATCTTTTCTTTTTTAATTCATGAAGGAAGATATAAATATAGATGTTTTCAACTAGAAAAAGTGTAAAAATATTGACACAATTTTTTTCACTGTGACGGCCGTTTTATTTACAAATAGCTGATCCTAGCCCAAAAGTCAACGAATTTTTCTAATGGAAATATTGGTGTTTTCAACTCAAGAATTGTCGAATTTAGTATGAAATCTTAAAATATATAGTTCAAATCATTGAGTCTCAACCCAAAGTTTTAACTTATGGGAAATTGTAAATTAGTCACTTAAAAAATCGTAAGACTCGATGTTTCAACTACCCTCTCCAGGGGCAGCGGTACGTGTTTGCTCACGAATTTTAAAATAATATCGGGGCACTGTTAGTGATTTGATAATTTGCTTGCCCTCTAAACGCCAGTATTTCATCTATAAATCCTTCCTTTTTACAATGTGTGTGAGAAAAATCTAAAATTTATGCTATTGGTGGTTTCCACGTGTCATTTTGTGTGTACATGTATTTGAATTGAATAGTTCTTGAAATGGAAAAAAGCACAAGAAACATTGCTTTTTGCAAGCCAAGGCATAAATATGAACCCTCGACCTCAGCGATGTACTATTGGATTTGAGAGCAGAGAGCAAACACTTTCTAAAAGATTTGCAAAACTTCAAACTTTTAGAAATAATGCCCATTTTTAGTTCCATGGCAATATTTAAACACCAGAATTTTGGAGAGACACTTACATGTATGGAACATAAAGTTTGAAATACAATTTGAGAAAAAATCCACTGAAAATAAAATTCCTTTTTGTATGGATACAGTTAAATTTGTCTAACCGATCACATAGCACCATTTTTTTTTTTAGAAATTAGTTTTACCAGGTGAAAAGAATAAGATTTTGATGCTTCAAAAATTTAATTGGACAATTACTGAGAAAAATGAGATTTAAAATTTTTATTTTTCATACTTTGTATGTTTCAATTAATGGAACTGATCGTCATTTTGAAGAAGGGACACCTGTAACAATATATCGCCCCCTTTCCCCTCATACATAGAACAGCTACATGTATGATATTTTAGGGGGTGGCTCTGAGGGAAATCGCACTCTATAACAATTACGCAGAGTAGGATTTCCTCCCGGAAAATTGAATCTGGTGTGGGATTTCTGTAGGGAAAATCATACACTAGAGACATTTTCCTTGGGGGAAATCCTACTCTAGAGATTATTTTGCGGGGAGAACCCTACTCTAGAGCCAGTTTTCCGGTGGGAAAGATTTTCGAGGAGAAAGCCTACTCTACAAGACAGGTATAAATTTCGAAGCAGGTATTGTCGTTCACTTGACTATCATGCAGGCAAAAACGGGGATTACATGTAGTCCATTCATAGCGGTTTCTAGGGAATTATTCGCATCTACATGTTTAATATATAGAGAAAAATCAGTTGAGGTATAATAAGATAATCTAACTGTACATGTATATAGCATAGGAGTTTGTCTTCCGGATTGTTAAATGTAAAATAAATTGATAAAAAAGTACCACACCTATATACATAAACTCTACAAGTGCTGAAGTGGGTAGGGGCATTTTTTCCAAGATGACAGTTTTCGTCCCTTGTATAGAGTTTATGGTGTGGTACGTGTCTTTAAAACATGGTATTTCTTGTCTGAAAGTGTCTAATTCTTTATTGTAAAAACTTTTTTAAGTGTATTGAAACAAAATTCTTTTTTGACACTATATACACACCAATTGCCATTTATAATGAAATGGTACCCTTGTAATTAAAAGTAAGACTTTCAATTCCTCAAAATGTTGGAAGTGGAAAAATGACACGTGCGTTTGTTTTCATTTTACCCGCTGCCTTGTTTACCTCGAAATCGCCATCCAATCAAATTACTGCATGGTGTCACATGATAACGCCAGCATTTGCTGAGTCGACCTTTCCTCGTGGTCAGGAGGCGATTTTCACCTCATCTTTTTCAACTTTTTTGGCTAAAAGTAAACATCAAAATGGCGGAAGCAAAACCTCACCTCCATCGTGAAGGTACAATGGTGGTGACTGCAAAGGTAAATAAACAATCATGGTTACTTTAACCTAGATAATTGATAAGAAAAGAAGGGCAACTGCATGCATGCTCATTTTGTTGATATGGTAGTGTAATTTGTAATACGCAATAATTAAGATTTTCGTATCGGTGGCAGTAGATATGCCTTATAAGTTTATATTTGTAAACAATGTGGGAATGTACCAAGACGGAATTTTACCGATATTGTTCTTGCGATCGCAGTAAATTTTGCCATAAAGTATCGTATTTAATTTTATCCAAAATGGCCGACTCCGAATAGTCGAGAAAAACCGGCTTAATGTTTCAATCTATACCAAGGAACATAACTCACTAAAGAATGTTGAAACAACATTTGTATAAGCTCAGTATGTCACTTGTATTAGCAAAGCAAAGTTTGATTCCCTGACATAATGATTTTGGGAAAGTTTTGATTTAAAAAGAATATCAGGGTAAAGTTCTTAATTTTGACTTGGGGGCGGGGCATGGAAGGGTAGAAGGGGTAGAAACTATATGCATGTTGAAACTTGACTACTTTGTCAATATAATATGTATTGCCAATGTGTTGATATTATGATTAGAATGTGTTTTTAGAATTGAGAAGTCTTTCAGTTAAAACATTTGGTATTAAATTCTATGAACATGCACCTCAAGCTGAATTTAATACATTAAGCAGGGTGGTCCCTAAGACCCAGAGGCTGCGGAATTTCGCCTATAATGACATAATCCTCGGTTATCTTGATATATGTATATTCCCCTTCAACCCCCTGATGGGGGAGGAACCCCAATCCCCCTTCTACTTTTTTAATGTCCCCTGCTATTTCAATTTTCTAAGGACAACCCTGCATTAAGTGAATTTCGCCTACATCAAGCAGGACGATGAAGTGTGACATGTCTGGTTATTGTTTGCAGTATTAACAATAAGAGAGTTATCTAATGCATTGATTCAATGAATAGAAAAATTTAGGGTAAAGAGAATTTGTACATAAATATAGCATAAGGGTGTTTTGAAGGTACATCTGTCAAATCCAAAGCATATAATTTATAATGTGTATTATTTATATAAATTTCAGGAAGGTATTGATTACCTCGAGGCGGAGGGTAAAACCAAGCTCTTGGAGATGCAGGGTCTCAAGGATCCAGAACCCGTACAGAACTCACTTAAAAGAGATGGCACAATGGCAGTCACCGCAAAAGTAAAATATACTGTACAATTAGTCAGAAAAAATATACAAAAATATATAAATATATAAAATATATTGTACAATTATTCAGAAAAACACTGATTTATGACATATTTCTTTCTAAGTATATTTTAATATTTTGAAAGCTTTTTAATTATCTTTCATAAATGCCAACTTACTTGTGACTATAATAGCTGTATTTTATTTATCACTGTTTCAGGAGGCAGAGCACTTGCTAGGAAAAAACAAACCAGATGAGGATGCAAAGACAAGAGGGCAGCAACATAAGATTGAGGAGATAAAGGAGGAAAAGCCTGCTAAAAAAGGTCGTCTAGCTAAAGGTGTGACCATGATAGGAACAGCAAAGGTACATTGAGAATTTTTAATAACTGATGTCTAATGTAGACCTTTAAAAGTCTTGAATGTTTTTTTTTCCTGCAAAAGCAAAGACTTAGGTTGTTGTAGTAGTCAAATTACAACTTATTTTTGCATTTTTATTTTGTTTACATTTTTTTATAATAATCAGAAAATGAAAAATTGAAATTAAAAAAAAAAAAATCACTTTTTCAGTATATCAGCAGTAAATGACCCTCAAATACAATTACAAGGACTCAAAGACAATAAATTTTAAATACTTCTCTTAAGAACTTAAGTCCTTATAAGTAGTGAACAATGCCCCAGAATGAGATGATGGGTTCAATGTATAAAACCTAATTTTTTTATCCTTACTCATACTCTTAACAAGCATAAAAACCTCCTTATAGGAAGCAGCTCAGTTGCTCGGGGATGAAAAACCAGATGCAGATGCCATGACCAGAGGACAGCAAAAGAAAATTGATGAAATTACAAAAGAGGCCCCATCCACTCCCAAGAAAGCTAGAATGCAAAAACAGGGTACAATGGCAGCAACAGCCAAGGTTTGTTTACATTTATCAAATTTAAACTAAGCGCTGTGTAATGTTATTAATCTTTGTACTAAAACTGCCAATTCACTATAATATGTACTATGTGAATTGGTGAGATGGTTATAACAAATTACGCATATAGCAAAGTTAATTTACAGGTCCCAAGAAGGACTTTGCTATAACCAAGTTTTAATTACTGTAATTTTCAACTGGATTAAATATCCTGACATGGTACGAGAAAGTACTGAAAGCTAAAAAATATGTGGTTACTTTAAGAATGTCAAAATGTTTTAGTTGCGCATGCATAGGCATTTCAAGTACATATTCACTGCAATTCCTTTTGTTCCTAGAACTATGCACAACTTGAGCCTTCCACTGTGATCAATCTTCAGTGTAAATATTGTAGAAATTAGAACTGGAAATATTGGATGTTGTAATCTTGTGTGATATTCTAATCCTATATTATGATAATACATGTATTGCAATATTTAACATAAAATAATTATAGAAAATCCTTATTTAGGTAGTCAAAACTAAGTGAATTGCTAAAAATAAGAATTGGAAAAAGTAATATTCCTGGATTTTTATTTTTAAGGAAGCAAAAGAACATCTACTAGGGAAGGAAAAGTTAGGTGACACAAGAGCTGAGACAAAAGCTAAAAAATCCAAACCCAGTGCCCCAAAAAGGTCCAGTACAATCAACAAGGCTATCGAAGAAGGTATTTTAAAAAAGAAATGATAAACAATATTCTTATGATTTTTTCAGTAGAATAAATTTTAAAGAAAAGGATTATATATTACCGGTATATCATTTTATTTTATATTGTAGCTAAGTATGTTGTTCCTGATATAAATGTTAACGAGGGAAGGAAATTACGATCTGCTGACAAGAAACCTGCTATGAAACGTGCAGGAACAATGCAGACAACAGCAGCCGCAGGGAAAGAGTTCCTGAATAGGTCTAAGAAAGCCAAAAAAGCAGAAGATTCCAGCGAGGAAGATTAGACAATCCTGATGCTGCTTCCAACATAGGGCAGGTCGATTAGGAATGGAAGACCTCATGCTGGAGTATCTGTGTGTTGTTGACAGATGGTTAAATATTATGGCAGCATTTTTCCATGTCTGTAATGGATAGAAATACAAATCCTCCTTTTAATGCTTTTCATATTAATATAATATATCTTTTATTGTCCGAGGTAGAATAAGTTCTGATTATCAAATACTATTATGAATATTTTCAAGAGATCAAGTATGGTTTTTTTTTATGAGTCTGAAATAATATGTTTACTAAGAAACAGTAATTGCAAGTTTTAGTTAGAATTAAAAATAAGGTACCCCATTTGCATTTCATTATAACTGCCTGTGAGTATTGCATCATGTGTGCATGTTTGGATTTTCAAATTAGCTGACATGACTGAAAGACATTGAATTGTTAGAACTTTTGCTTCATTCACCATCTTTGTACAGGAGTTATTCATTCATTCACTACATTTGAGCCATTAGTATTGTTTTGTCATGGTGTAGAAAGAAAAATTTTATTTAATAAAAAATATTAAATTGACCATCAAAACTGTTTGTGATGATATTAGTTGCTTAATTCCAGTGTTAGGAAACTTCTGTGTGTATTGTTTTGTGATTTTGTGTTGTATTGATACAATCAGTGTACATGTAATTTGCTTTGATGTGTCCAAGGTGGACTTTTTTGTTTAGATATTTTTCTTTGTTTCTAGAAATTATATTTCATTTTTATATCAGAATGTCATTTATATATATCAGAGCATTTAGAAGCTATACAGTTATAATGTATCCAGTTATTGTTTGAAAATTACTGCCTGAAAATTCAAATACTGTCATGTAGTTGGGACCAAAAACAAAGACTGGATCCTAGAATACTCTTTTTAAACTGATGTTTAGTTGGTTATTTAAAATAAATTTATTTAAAGGTAAGCCCTAGCCCTTGTATACAAAAGTAACTTTAATTTATTTACAAATACATGTAATTAAGGATTTAAAAATAAACCTTAGCCTTATATACGAAAGTAACTTCACTGTTTTAAAAAAGTAACCCTGGCTGTGATTATTTTAATTATGTAGTGCCATGAGCATTATCTGTGTTAATATTTTAAAATTTTGAGTGTCCTTTTTTTATTTTATCTTTACATTTTAAGACAAACAAATCTGTATTTATCTCTATATACATAGATTGGAATGTTTTGGTGTATGATTCTTATCATCGGTGACAGTATCACTGTGTGGATTTTTTATGCAATCAAAATGAGCACACCTACTTTTGATGTGAAGTTCTGTGCCAGAGGCAGTTTTCCTTTCCTTTAGGTGCTTCTTGTTTTCTTTGTAGCATGTGTGTAGAACAATGTGTGATTTTATAAGTCACTGTATATGTGTCATTTTAATACTTGGTTTTGAATCTACTAGCTGTTTAGTAACAAATTCCTATATGTATGTATGAACACATTTTATTAAAAAGAAACCCTGATCAAAATTTATGTTGATTTTTTCCCCTCAGGATCAGAGAGAACACAACACCAAACTTGTGGAAAAAGAAATGAAAAGTTCATTACTTATTGTGTATCACATACTGATTTCTTAAAAATTCAGTGCTTTTGAGATTAAAATTTGTCCGTTTTTTTTTTTTTTTCAACACAAGTTTTGCACAAGGCTTCCCGATTTGAAAGTCAGTTTATGAAAGTTGATATATATAATATTTTAGCTTGGTAGTTGAGATGTTCCAATTATTGTTGGAATTAAGCTGAAATTGAGGTCAAGCATAAATACAAATATTTAATATTGGCACAAACACAATTACAATATACCGCGTAATTGACAAAGGCCCCTTGAACATCGTTAGATAATGTTTACATAATTTACAAATAAATAGACAGATATTGTGAAGACAGACAGTGCTAATCAGTTATTGAAATAGTATAAGAAGTTTGTAAGTTTAAAAAAAATCTTGGCTAGAAAATTTCACTCTTAAGTCAAATATTTTTACAAAAGATCTAATTCAACTTAACTTGATTATGAAATGTCACCGGTGTCAAAGCAACTACCAGTGAACTAAAGATGTTAGTTCCCAGTAGCAGATCTAGGGGAGGAGGAACATAAATTACCCCCATTTTTATTTGGCCTAAAATTATGTTTAAAAAAAGCATTTTTGTACAAAAAATTAAATTGTTTTGAATTTATCTACTTGCATTAAACATTACAACCCATGATTTTTTTTGTAGCCCCCCCTTTTTATTTTTTCAATTAGAATTCTTGGATCTGCCCCGTTTCCACTGTGAATGGAGGTCTTTTCTTACCTAATTTTTTAATTGACCATCACCACACCCATCATGTCGAGTGCTGAAAAGTGTATTTTATAACGAAATGTTCATGGTACGAGGTTTTTAAGTTGATATTCTAGTACGACTTGTCTTTTCCTTAACATCCGGTTTGATCTCCTTAGCAACAGGTACTCATCTGTCGGCCATAACAGCAAGTGCTCGTTGATAAACAAAAAGGTAAACAGACTTCTTTCGATGTTTCAATTTGTTTGACATCCAGGTAGCATCGGTATTGAACATACTGTAATTTTTTACTGTATTCTTTGTCGTTAGACTAATATAAGCTGCAATGTCACAGATTTGATTTTGCTTTGGTTTTTTTTTTCGAAACTGCACTTATAAAAGGGTTTTGGATATTATATTGAATTATTGATACAGAACATACTTTAATTATAACTGTTTTATTATTATTTTTGGTTTCAATAAATTTATTTTAGACAAGATGCCGCGCCCACGCTCTGCTCGCTCGGACAACAGTGATGCTGACATGGAGGGGCTCCAGGAGCAGGAGCTTATCAAACTTCAAAGGCAGTACCGCCTAATGGAGGGGGATCGTGCTGCCTACACCGAGGAGTCACAGAACATCATCAGAAAACAAAAGTAGGAAAAATGATAATGCAACATTTACTTTGTATATTTACACCATACATTTGAATTTCATTGAGCATACCTAGCTAATGTTAGACTTCAGCTGCATGTCTCATGATTTTTACTTATTTAACATTTATGGTCATAATTGAGGTCATTATAGATTATTAATAAATTTTATTAGGTGAATATATGACAGTTGTTGTTGTGGACAAGCATCTGTAGAAATTAGTTGTTCAAAAATAAACTGCTGTGTTTAAAATTCTAGGGCTGAGGTAGCCCAACTGGAAGCAGAGAAGCAGGAGCTTCTTAAGGAGTTAAGATTGGCAGAGAGTAGATATAACCAGAACTTGGATGAAACAAACACAGACACCCTGGTGGTTCTAGCAGAGGCTAAAGGTAAAAAAGTTGTAGATATTTCTATATCTAAATCTATAGATTTTCTTGGTTAAGTCCAATCAAGAATCCCAAAGAATGATTATAAGAAAATTCTTTTTGGAATTTTTCTAAATAATTTGGATTTTATTTTTATATGTTGAATTTTTCAAAATTCATTGTAGATAATTCTTGTAATTAGCAATTGATGATAACCATTCTATGTTTTTATCTTACAGAGGATTACGACACAGAAATAGATGAAGAGAGACAAATGCATGCTGAACTAGATGCTAGAATCCGTGAGTGGGAGAAGAAGATTCGCAATCAGCATAAGAACATGGGAGGTGTTCACATGAGTTCCCAGCACACAGTTCAGACACAGAAAACAATTAGAACATTGGAAAATAGACTTGATAAAGTAAGTTCTTGCTCATACACAGGATAAGTACAGATGAATTTCGGTATCTTGAACACGGATATCTTGAATATCATGAATATGTTGAAGTGATTTTGAAGTCCCAACCCCTTATTCCTTAAGTATTTTACCCTGGCTATCTCGAATCCTTGGATATTTCAAAGTTTTTTGTCAGTTCCATTGAGTTTGAGATAATGATGTTAAACTGTAGTTAGTATCCCCCCTCTTAACATACCCCCCTCCCCTAAAAAAAATCTTGCAGTTAATTTTCAGTTAATTTGTGTTCCTCTGAATTTAGATTTTACTTTTGTTCTGATATAAAATGCTACATCAACAGAATTTGAAGTTACAATACAATAAATTCATTATATTACTTCCAGGCCAAAAAGCATTTCAACTCAATTCTTACACAAAATTCTGTGTATAGAGAGGAAATAGAAAGCTTGAGAGTTGAAAGGAATAGATTTGACAATCTGTACAAAAAATTAGACAAGGAATTGTCAAGTCTGAGAAGAGAGAAAGGTGAACTGATTGAAAAATCCACACAGGCCTATGATGCTAGGTGAGACGTCATATCCTTGAAACATAAATATTTGTGTTGCCATTTTAATTCAAATTATTCCAATTCTTTGAACTGAAAAAAATGAGATAGAGATTTTGTTAGAGATGATTCTAAAAGGAAAGAAGGAAGAGTATTAATATCAGATCAAAATAAAGATTCTTTATTTATTTAACTTATGAAAGATACAATTTACAATTATGTTTTTGGTTTTTATTTTTCACTAGGGATGAAGCCCAAGCTAAGATGATCCTGTTGAAGGAGAGAGCAGACAAGGACCAGCAGCAGCACAATGCTGAAATGAAGGAGCTCCTGAGGATCATTGACCATGAAAGAAACCTGAGGGAGTTCATGGGAATCAAAGGCCAAGAAAGAGTGGATGACCCACAGCTGGTGGCCTGGAGACAGAAAAAAGGTAAGCTTGCTATTTATAGTACAATATATATTGATCTTATAGTACAGTATATATTGGTCAGGATACTTAGATCTATTTTTAACTATGGGAAGCCTATTTTAGTTTTGCCTTGATTTATACTATCTCTAATAATTGATGTATGAAATGGAAGAAGATTTTTTTCCCATTACAAAGTGTATTAGTGTTCTGATGTGATTTATTGTGAATTTAAGATGTTGCAAAGAGTATGATAATGTTTATTCTCAAAATTTGATAAATAGAGGCCCAGGAGGCTGAGCGTAAGAAGGAAAGTCAGGAAGACTCTGTAGAGACTTATGAGGCAGCCTTTGAGAGGATCAAGGAAATGACTGGAGAGGAGGATCTAGACTTACTTGTACAGAGGTTCATTGAAACAGAGGACAAGAACTTTGCCTTGTTCAACTTTGTTAATGAACAGAATAATGAAATTGAAACCTTGCACGAACAAATCGAAGAGGTGAGATGTGTATAATTTAGCTGAATTTTTTAGTACATTCTGTTTTCATTTCATGGTTTTGATTACCATATTTTGTTTCATTGTCTTTCAGAAAAATAATGAAATTGAGAAATTCAAATTACAAGGCATTGAATTAGAGGAACAAAGAAAAAAGATTCTCAAAGAACTGGAAGAACAACAGTTATCTTGTTCCCGTGATGCTGACGAATTCTCCAAAAAGAACAAAGAAATCTCCAAAATTCTCGATCAGCTTAGAGCAGGTACTGGAAATAGTTATTCTCTTTGAAGTTAATACTGCAAATGACTCAAAGGGAATTAAATTTGATTTTTAAAACATTTTTTATTCACATTTAGGTATTGATTCCTTGTTCAATAAGATAAACTGTGATAGATCTGCCATTGACGACATGTTGGGGGCTCAGTCAGGCGTGACAGATAGCAACATGATTCAGTATCTTGGAATCATTGAACAACGCACTAATGAACTGTTGGCAGTACAGGCATATGTTAGTTCTAAGGTAAATCAATAGATTCTTTATTATAAATTTTTACATTACTGTATATAATGATTTAGTGGTTATTTTTTTTCTTTGTCAGATAAAATAATGAACAGTGTTGGAAAATTTCAACATCATGAATTGTGATATGCATAAATTATTTTAAGAATTCATTATTATTATATAAAATTTTGAATATTAGAAAATAGTTTTAAAAATTTGATTTTAGGATATTGAAAATTAAAAAAAAAACCCTGTTAACTTGATAATTAATTGACATCTTGCCAAACTATAGGACCAAGATAGATATGATGCTAAGCAACCAGTATTGCTGGGTGCTGGACCAGCAGCAGCCCAACCTCAGTACCCTGTCATTCCTCCCTCCATAGGGTATGTATTCCCTGTCATATCAGCATGCTGTATAACCTCATTTCATTTTCAGCCACATCCTGACACCAGCATGGGACCCACACTGATTCACCTCACAGCAACCTCCATTCAGGAGCATTTCACTGTTCTGTAATACTTGTAATCATTGTGTGACTTGTTTGACATTTTCAGGATGATTATGAAAAGCCTCCCAGTTTGTTAGGGGGAGGCCCTCCACCACCTACACAACTTTGGCCCATTAAACCTCCCGGCGTTGGGTATTTATGATTACAATTTAGACAAGCTATATATATGGTGTGGTTATGCCATTCAATATTTTTATGATAAGTCAAATGAAATATTTTTTTATCATATGTCTTAATTCTATGAGATATTTCTGAAATTTGACTTATTATAAACTGTATACATTATAATTTGGTGGATGGTCCTATCTATATAAATCTGAACAACTGCTTTTTTAATGTTCGTTTTGTAGACCTTTAGCCTGGCTTTGAGTTATATATACCTCAACAATTTTTCACATGTCTTTCTCACTTCTGTAACCTTTCACTTCATTTACACCTTGAATGCACAATATTCAGGGACCGTAACTAGGGTTTCATTTCAATTTTAAAAATTGGCCATTCTGGGGTCAACAGGTAAACAATTATTCTTTATTATATTATTTATTCTTAAAATGATAAATTTGCAGTATTTCTACTGATATCCTTATTTGTTATCTTAACACTAGTTACGGTTCTGAAGTCTCCAATTCAGAAAAAAAATATTTGGTGCTGATCATTCTGTGTAGTTACGAAAAAGTTAATATCTAACTCCATGTATACTTGGACACATCTTTAATTTGGATTTCCTGGCAATATAATTTCTATTATTTCACTTATCATTATAAAAGTAATGTGTGTTGTAGAATCTTATATGTAATTTGGGGGGAATTCGGGATAGTTACTAATACATAATACATATATTATCTTGGACAAAAAGTTGAGCATCGTATCCATTTAAAATAGTATTTATTTATATATTCAACATTTGGTATGGACCAAATCCTTGTGTTTCACTACTTAATATGACAGAATGTTTATTTGTGTTTATGTGAATAATTTTTAAAAAGAAATGTCATTATCAAGGTTGGAAAAAAAAATTGGAGCAAAATTCAATTTTTCAGACTTCATCTTAAGGCTTTGTAAACCATTAAGAATATATGAATGAATAGGCAAAATGAATCTCTCAAATAGAGATGTAATACATGGAAATAGATTACAAAAATTAAAATTAATGACCCTGAACTTTCTTGTTGAGAATATTTGTTTCAATTATCTTCATAAGAGCTTTACCAATTTCCTTTTTTCCCGAATTTTGGTATGTGAATATTTATTTTCATCTGTAGTATGTTGATTTATTTTTGGTAGATAGCTGCATGATAATATATTATTTTGTCTGCATGCTAGATATCTCCAAATTAGAGATGCACTTATTTCTAGTGTATTTATCTCCAAACGTGTTTACTTGACACAAAATAAAATATAAGAATTATAAATTAATGATAACTTTTAGAAAAATATAGTAGTTTAATATATATAATAATCTTATTAGATATAATCATGATGATTTAACAAAAATGTAGTGCTAAAAATGAAATGTTATACACTTTAAACGCATATTGAAACACACCTATGATACTGTAGTAGAGCGGGCATATAACAGCTATATTTTTTTTATTTCTATAGAGATGAGTATGACAGTGAAGGCAGCGAGGCCAGTGATGACGAGGCAAGGCCGCTGACCAGGAACGAATTACAAAATAAAGTGATTAAGACGGTCCGGAAACGGGAGTCTGCCGCCAAGAAAGACGGAAACAAGTACGACCTGTCAAACGCACGCGAGATGCAGAAGAACAAAAAAGACAAAAAGTGATCCAGAGTGACACATTTTAAGTGACTTTTCGGAGGGGACTTCATGAATAAGAGGAAAAGAAATTACAGGAGGAAAATGTTATGTTTTGTGACCAGGACATCCAAAAAGCCAGCTACAATCTTTATTTATTGTAGAACTTGGCTCTTGTTGTTAATTAGTTTATAAATTCTTGTTTTTGTGATTACAAATGTACCTTTAAATCATGTCTATTTCAGTTCAGATTTATAAAATTGGAAATTTATAAAAATGTGCTAATAAATCGTTGATTAACTGATGATGTTTTCAATTTGAAATTAGTTACATGTAAGCCATACCGGTATACAAAAATAGAAAAAAATAGTTTAATAATAGTATTTAAACTGCTTTGCATTCATCCTGCAGTTTTACAAATGTAATTATTTTCTTAGGTGACCTCTGCGGGGTTAGTGTCACAAAGTGCATTTATTAATTATTAGTAATTTCTCAATCTGAGTTAATGTGCGAGATTCTCTTTGTAGAATGATACAAGTGACCGCAAAAGTAATGTATAAAATACTAGATATGTATATTTTTTTTAAAGACATGGTTGGACATGTCGCACCGTATAAATGGGCCCTGCTACGAACCAAGCGATGCTCTACTTAACACCCAAAACACGAGTAAGTTTCTATTGGGGACATGCTTTGTCCATTTGTTGGCACTGTCCGGTCATTGGCGCAAAAGAAACCTCACCAAGACTGACGAAGACTGTCAGTTGTGTTTTGAATGCCCAGGGGAAAACATGAAGCAGATCTGGTTCCTGATTTTGGTTCTGTCTGCTATGGGTTTAATAGAAGCACAGCGTTCCTTGGTGTCGTTAAGTGACGTTATTACGCTCATGTCGTTTATAGATCCAAACTGGGGTAAGCTTTTTTATCTTTTAAACTGAATTATTTTTTTTGTATTAGGTCTTTCATTATTCTAGAGTTAAAAGAAGCAGAGACGTATAAATGGCAGGTCGCCTGTTTGAAAAGAGTTTCTTTTATCTTTTAATGTAATTGTGAAACAGAAAATTTGTCTCTTTGACAAGGTAGCAAAATGTGAAATCAGTAAACGGGCTTGACTTGTGTCCGTTTGAATGATTGAAAGTGTATATTATAAAGGGCTTTCAGTAAGTTTCCTTTGGGAAATAGATGTTTCAGTGCTGTATCTCCATATTTCATGCAGCATGTTCGGTACTTGCGGTATTACTATGACGCAAGTGGAGAGCTAATATTGGACATATTACAAGACAGGCTTTTATCAGAGGGATGACCAGCCTTCAAGATCTACTGTAATTCTTGTAAACATTTTAATTGTAGCCAAAAAGTCATTAGGCACTAATGACTATCCATGCACGGTGTGTCTACGTGAGGATAATTTTGATTGCGCACAGATTTATTGTATATAATTTAGTAAGTGACGTAGGATAGTTTATACTAATGAATACTCTTAGTTTTCTCACTTTCTATATACATGTATATATGTACACTCTCTGATAGAACTTCTCTAATATAGTTCTGTAAAGGCTTTTGGGTTTTATACACGATTATTTATTCTCTAGATCATAATGTAACGATAATTAAAGTACAATTCATCCTAAATTTATATTTACTTTTTCAGTGGTATCAAGATTTTTCATATAAATTTGTAACCATTCTAAATACATTAAGTAGTTAATACGTAACCCAGTACGTCTTCAGTAAATCTTAGTTTCACATTGGTATGTGAAATTTACGCCACCCATTCTGAATTGTTATAGAAAATATTTCTGTCATATAAATAAGGGTCGATAAGATATTTTGTAATGCTGACGATTCTCATTTCAGAATTAAAACTTTAAAACTTGATAAATCACAGCAAACAATGATTTGCCTTAGAGTTTGCCCTTTCAGATACCTTAAATTTGAATGAATTTTGATTTTTATATACATCTTCAATAATATATTGTATTCACTGTTTGTATAATAAGGAGAGGATTTATTAAGTTGAAAGAACTTGTATCCAATCCTTTTGTATGTATTATTACAATAAAATACGTTCAAATCAAATCAAATCAATAACAAAATTGTTATAATGTAATTACATAAAAAAAATCCCGTAAAAGTGAACGAAAGGTCGATCTCCTCAATAACACGACTACTCCTCGATCATAATCATATGCATGTATTTTCACTAATGATATTTTGTATGTCATGAAAATAGTAAACGTCACATATTAATTGTCTTGAAAATATATTTTATTGAAGGCCAACGAGTGGTAATGACCAATTGATTATAATAAGTAGTGGGCAGTGGCTTTTTGGACATAATGCGGTACACCTTAATGGGCCGTTAACCCAAGAATTATCACCGTGTTTAATGGACTTATTTACAACCCGCGGAAGGGTGGTGTTAGTACATGTGTTTTCTTGTTATCGCAGGAGAATGTAGTCACGGTCTTTCCCAAGTCGATAATGGGAAATTTGTTTTGAACTTGAACAACAGAATAAATATTGTGTTATTTAATTCATAATTTGACAACCATCGAAGAGGCTTAAGTTATTTTCATATACTTTGTATAGAGTGACCAAGATAGGTATGGCCGTGACGAAATTTGGTATGTCGTGCGAAAATCATACTGCCTCGTCTTCTAAATTGAAAAATAAAATAAGTAAATATAAAACGTGAATCTTTTTTGAACCACTTTTACAAGCTGTGTTAAAAAAGATGCTGACACCAGGTCCGTAGCAACGGTTTCGAGTGGGAAGGGGGGGGGGGGGGCTTGTCAAAAATCTGCCAGGCGAATAATATCTGTTAGTGTGTGTTTAAACCATGCCTATATACAGTGTATCTCATAACTGAACAATCGAGTGGCCATTAGCTCGACTTTTTGGAAACTCTGCCTTATAGAAATATCTTGGGATGTACTAATATAATTTTGTATCAATGTTACGATTGTTGCAGTCCTTTGATGTTTTTCTTACGGCCATGCATTTTCAAAACGTCATTCGACAATCTATTCTTTATTTGAACAGAGTCGCGCAAGTCCCTCTCAAAAATATCGATTGGCCTTTTCCCTCAAGTCTATTAGATATGAATGTACACATTGGATGATTTCTAGAAAAAGTTTTTTTTTCTTTTGTCAAGGTTTACATGTACATCCGCAGATAGCAATTTAATATGAAGGTAGGAATGGGGGGGGGGGGGCTTAACCATACATTTTCAGTTGGGGGGTGGGGGGTGGGGGGGGGGGGTTACCAAGCAAAAATTCCTTCACAAGCCAAAAAAAGTCATCATGCAGCAGACGTTTTTATTGACGAGGCATACATGTACGCATAAGGAGCTATGTTTTTATAGTATACTATATCGGCAAAATTATTGGAGGAGGAGGGGTGGCACCCCCCCCCCGGTCCTATATACCACTATGTAAATCAAGAATAAATTAATATGCAGCTAGTATTAGATATACGTCTCTCTCACTTTATCTCTCTTTGCATGAAGATATAGCATACCCAGTTTCATTAACATTACTAATATATTTTTAAATAGACATTTTTTGTAGATATGATAAGAGAAATTTGACTAAAAGTAAGTGAAACATACATGTACAAACAAAATTATCAAACAAAAACAGAGTTGTTAGAAAAATATACTGTCAGGTATGATTTATTTATTTATTAATTTTTATTTATTTATTTATATTTTCAGCCAAACGAGCGTTTAAATCCAACGACATCCCCTGTGAACTCTGTTACCATGAAGACAATATGGATTGTATGAAAGTGTATTGTAGAGATTTATAAAAACAAAAAACAAAAAAACAAAACAAACAAACAAACATAAAACAAACATGGATTCAAACCTGTTTTTAGCCCAGATGATGGATAAGAAATCCTCTTCTCCTGACATAAACTAAACATTCTGACAGGAATAAAATACATGTTTATTGTTGGTTGTGGTTTTATAGGTGACATCTTTCTACTTTGACTTTGATAAAAAGAAAAATGGCCTTACTTTTTAAAAAAAAAAATATATGCATTAACTTATTTTGTTGTAATAAATTATATAATAAATCTTAAAATGTAACATTGTAAAATAAATACTATAATTGTATGGATTAATGACAATTATATAATTTAAGAGATGAATTTAATTTTCGAGAATTCATTAGGACATATGAACTACAACGCTTCACGCCTGCATATTTCATGAAGCGCGTTAGTTAGCGCTTCATGATAAATATGCCGGCGTGAAGCGTTGTAGTGCATGTACCTCATGAATTCGCAAAAATTAAATTCATATCTTATATTTACATTATTTTTCTGATGACTTGCCACATATTTTTGTCAATCAACGATCATTTTTGAAAAAAAAGTTTGCACTATATTTGACTTCAATCACATCATGTATGTGCAATGGAAATATTCTTACTCATCCCACACTCTACACTCGTTGTGTTATATTTACTTTTTATTGTCTGATCAACACATAATCTGTTATGATTTCTTATTTTCATTTATAGGTTGCATTGTATCTGGGTATTTTCAGATAATTTATTTAAAGCGTCTTTTCTGTATGATGGAATTTATTGCTAAAAGATATATCGACTTAAAAAATATTGATCTGAAAAATATTTATTTATAATTAAGCATGAGAAATAAAGATATCTATGCTACTATTTCTATGGGAAAAGATTGAAAATATTGTTCTCCAACTAATTTCGCGGGCGCGGGAATTCTCATGAAACGCATCAAATCACTCAGATTTATTGAAGTGATCTGCGCATGTACAATGTGCCATGTGTAAAGTGTCAAATATTTGCCAGTATTCTTGTTTATTTTATATATTCGCGGATCTCTAATGAACTCAAGTAGCACAAAGATACTCTTGCCTCACTCCTCTTCAAAAGTGGTGATGGGGACAGTAAAACCCTATGACAATGTACGGAAGCGTAAAGGGCTCTACACTTGTGTTATAACTTGTATATTGTCTTATATTTTATTGTCTTGTTAACATATAAAGTGTAATAACTCCTTATTTATACATATATTTTGAATTGTATTTAGATGTGTTTACATAATTTAAGGCACCTTCTTTTATTTGATTGATTTTATTGCTATAAGTTTTATCGACTTAAAAAATATTGATTTTAAGATATTGATCAAAGCAAGATACTTAATCCTATTAATAAAGTAATGTCGATATGTAAAAATAAATATGTAGTTATATCGATAGAAATATATGAATATTTCCGAGAAAAAGTGAGAAAATATTGTTATTGAATTAACTTCG